ATAATCCAATACAATATCAAGCTTAGTGAAATTTACCTCGGATGTCTTTCATTGAAATCGAAAATCTGGAGATTTAGGACAAATCAAGACCAAAAAACAGACTTGAAAACTGGTGAAGGTGAGCAGAAAATATAATAGCTAACAAACCAAATTCTTAAATACGCAAGGTAACGATATTTTCACATGTGAAAATAACATGTTATTTTCTCATGTGAAAATATCAGTTTTTCTAAAAGGAGAAATATAGGTATTTTATGGATAATTATATGATAATCTTACTTATTATATAGATATCGATGAAATACCAGGTTTTCTCTAGTGTCGAAAACTTGATATCTTTCACACTTGAAGATAACGCTGTTGACATAGTAACGTATTTTAATAAAGAATTTTTGAGCTTTTGTTTTATTTAAGTTTCATCGATATCTATATAATAAACAGAACATTACATGGCCGTTTGGAGATAGGAATTTTATCTTCTCGTGTTCAATTTAGATATCTCACTCGTTCGCTGCGCTCACTCGTGAGATATCATTTGAACACTCGAAGATAAAATTCGTATCTCCGCGCTCCCATGTAATATCCTCTATTTAATAACGTCTTTTACAGAACGAGACGAAGTTTCGAGACAAAACAGAAAATAATGCAAAAGACCATGCAAAATACAAAATGACGAATTTCATGTCAGTTAATTGGCGTTTTTGAATATTTTTTTAGCTTTTTAAAGTGAAAGTCTTGGTATGTATAAAAACATCTCTCCACAAAAACAGTAGTATATTTGGTGTAAATTTATATTTTATTCAATAATTAAATAAATTATCTGTAGAAAGATATAAAATTATTGAATGAAAGCCTTCTTTGTTTTGCCGATGGGACCCCGCGATAGGAGGCGAACATGACAAAGCTCCATTTTTCTTGAACGAAAAACATAGGTTAATTGTTAAAGATTTACAAAGCTAAATAAAGGACGAATATTTGTTGTAATATGCTCTTCGTGTTATATTTCATCCAGCATTAAAATAAATTGAGCTTATCGATAGAAATTAATATTAAAAGTTTTGAGAGAAAGTCTTTGATTTGTCGGTTCATCGAGAAAAACGCTTGTCAAAAATGTATATATATATATATACGATTGTTTGCTAAAAAACACACACCTGAATTCTTGAAGAACACTTCTTGATCCATCTTTGACATGAAAGTGTTTTTTTAATTGTTTTTGGTCTATAACTTGTCCTAAAGCGATTTTTTTCTGTGCATTTGAGAGCCGCATTTGTGAGTTTGCTTTGACATCAAGCGGGATTCCTGTGTTGTGTACAGGGACAGACGGCCGTACGGACGGAAGTGACGTCAGCCAAGCCATGAAAAATCAACTCGATGGTTTACCATCTTTTCTTAAGTATGGTGCTCTGCCCGCGCGCGCCTTCGACCCGCGCGGGTGCCCCCTTATTAATAAGTAATAACACGATTTCTCGTTTACGGTCTCCTGCAGTTTCAACTCTTCGAAAAACACACTTGAGGCAAATTAATCTCAAATTGAACTCGAAACCGTGTTATTACCTATACTAATACGTAAATTTATCCGCTCTCAATACTTACTTGGCGTAGAAAAAGAAATTCAAGTTCCAAGACATTTTAACAAGAGAGCTTCCTTCGCTTTTGAGAATCATCATAAATAATGATGATGATGATGATGATGATGATGATGATGATGATGATGATGATGATGATGATGATGATGATCAAGAAAACGAAGAGGCAAATATTTTATGGTTTTACCGTCACAGCTGGAAAAAAGGACAAAAAGTGGCGGAAACCGACTAGATATTATAGCGGAGGTCCCGCACCATACTTAAGAAAAAATGGTAAACCATCGAATTCATGGCTTGGCAGACGTCACTTTCGTCCGTCCGTCCGTCCATCCGTGTACACAACACAGGAATTCCGCTTGATGTCAAAACAAAACTATTCACAAATGCGACTCTCAAATGCACAGAAAAAATCGCTTTAGGACAAGTTATAGACCAAAAACAATTTTAAAAAAAACTTTCATGTAGTCAAAGATGGATCAAGAAGTGTCCTTCAAGAATTCAGGTGTGCGATTTTTAGCAAGCAATCGTATATTATTATTTTTTTGCGAGCATTTTTCTTGACGAATCGACAAATCAAAGACTTTCTCTCAAAACTTTTTATATTTCTTTAGATAAGCTTGCTTTTATTTTAATGCTGGAGAAAATATAACACGGCGAGCATATTACGACAACAAATATTCGTCCTTTATTTGGGTTGTTTTTAACCAACTATCGTATGTTTTTCGTTCAAGAAAAATGTAGCTTTGGTCGCCTCCTATTGCGTGGTCCATCGGCAAAGCAAACAAAACTTTCATTCGATAATGTTATATCTTTCCACAGATAATTTATTTAATCATTGAATGAAATATAAATTTACACCAAATATTCAACTGTGTTTATTAATGCTGTTCGAGCAAGTATGATTATAAAAATGAGCTTAAATTTGTGTTGTTGAGAGATGTTATTGTATAAAGACCTTGTCTTTCACTTTAAAAAGCTAAAAGATATTCAAAAACATTTACAAACGCCAATTTACTGACAAGAAATTCGTCATTTCGTATCTTGCATTGCCTTTTGCATTATTTTCTATTTTGTCTCAGTTGTTCTTGTCAAGTTTAACTGAATGTAAACTTCGTGTCGTTCCGTAAAAAGACTTAAGTAAGCTTATTTTCTGCTTGCTTTAACCAGTTTTTTCAAGTCTGTTTTTTGGTCTCGATTTGTCCTAAATCTCCAGATTTTCGATTTCAATGAAAGACATCCGAGGTAAATTTCACTAAACTTGATATTGTATTGTATTATCTGTAGTTATCTTTCTATTTTCTTAGAGTAAAAGAGATTCAAAGCCTAAAACTGTCGGCCTTGGAAAATTTTGTTGAAGAAAATTTTCCAAGAACAAAACTAGCCCCTGGAGGTGGTGGTGAGTTGTGTACAAAATTCCTAAGTGGGAGAGTATACTCGCGCAAGAAAAAAAGAAAAACAACAACAACAACAACAACAACAACAACAACAACAACAACAAAGCAATGTACTGCATTTCGATTCGATTTCGCTGCATGGTTTTTATTATGGGAGAAACTATCTTCATCTCGAATAAAAAATAATTGAAAATTTTTCCCCCGATCTTATTTTTACCTTTCAGTTTCATTCAAATTGTTCTCCCTTTGACTTCCGTATTGGGAGCTCCGCTTTTAGGCAGTGCCTAAATATATATATATTATAGTGTCTTAGACAAGAAGAGTAAAACGTGGATTATAGTGGAAGAAACCATATGCACTCCAAGAACGTACAATAGCGATGATAAACAAAAAGGGAAATAAGAATGACAATAGACAGATCACAAAATACACAAAAATAAACATTATCATTGTACGTAGTTATCGTAATGTTTAATTTTTTCGCGGTAAATTATAAAGAGCTTGAGAAAGAACTGTCTAAGATATTGGATAGGAAAGTAGTGGGGTCAATTATTTCGCAAAACTGCAAAATCGTAAAAAGATTTCCACTTAATTAATAGATATATTCAAGCCAATGTCTATATCTATATCTATATCTAGGTCTAGATCTAGGTCTAGGTCTAGGTCTAGGTCTAGGTCTAGGTCTAGGTCTAGGTCTAGGTCTAGGTCTAGGTCTAGGTCTAGGTCTAGGTCTAGGTCTAGNTAGGTCTAGGTCTAGGTCTAGGTCTAGGTCTAGGTCTAGGTCTAGGTCTAGGTCTAGGTCTAGGTCTAGGTCTAGGTCTAGGTCTAGGTCTAGGTGAATAAGGATTGAAGAAAAATGATGAAAAAGATATAAATGAATAGCATAAAATAAATAAATATAAGGCAATGGGTGATTAGAACGGTTGAGCGTACAAGACCTATATGAGAGTGTTATGGATATGTATTGTAGATAGGTAGCAATGGTACAGTAAATGATAAAGTACATCGTACAATGTATATTGAGTTAAGAATAAAAGCGTTTCGAGTGAAGGCAACGTTACGCGATGTGGTGGGGGATACAATATAAAGCACAAAAATAAGAAAGCTCTGGGATAGTCGTTCGATCTACCCAGTAGATCGCCTACGGCTCGTGTTTGCACTGATCTGCTCTCGAATTCTCCCAACAACATCTCGGTTTGCATTAGCCTGTGCAAGCACAGTAAATGTATTTTATTTGTTGAGTATATATATATTCGTTGTTTTTACTAAAACTGGCCCGGTTGGCGCTGTTTTTTTCCCGGTTTGTCGGTTTCAGTAACATTTCATAACTTCTAGAAAAGCTTGCCGAAAGTTTGTACTTTGGCAGACGTAGAACAGTGGATTGAGAGCAGATTCTAAGAAGTACATAAGACTAGCCATTTGAAAGCCTCTTGAGCCGTAATTTGCTCTGTCGTAAGCTCCCAAACATAAGGTAATAGCCGTAGGAAAAAAGCAAATGACATAAGCCAAAGTCACGGTTAGAAAAACCTTGACGAGTTTTCGTTTACCCTGGCCGTCTTCTTGAGCTGCCACGTTCTGTGATAATGCTGGGTTTTCATTGGCTAAATTTGTAAAAACTGTAAGAAGGTTTTTTATCTAGTGAATATTCATAACACAACCGAAAGCTATCCGCAGCTATTGGGCTTTCCAACTTGCGGGGGGCGTGCTACTTATTATGATTTTTGAATTTTAGAAAGCAATTTTAATTTCAATTTTGTTTTTTTATCGAAAAGGTATGGGTTACAAAATACGGTCTTGGTCAGGATTTTGAAAATTAGTTGCAATAACCTTTTTTGCCATTAAACTTTATTCTAGTGATCGCTTATAGGATACAACATTACTTGTGATGCAATAGGCAGATGTTCACGGCAACTTTTTCATTCTTTTTTTCTACAATTAAATGTGGAACCAATTTTCGAGTAGTTTTCTTTATGTTTTGTCATAAATCTTCTATTGAACCATTTTCAAACCTAGTGTGAAACACTTGTGGTTGACCATACATCTTGATCACGTCGTTCGTGAAACATTGTACATACTATATCCCCCACAATCTTCCAGCTTGTAAACAACTATTACACTATCATGATGCTTCGCTGGTGGTAGAATTGTCAATAATACAAAGAACTCATGAGCGATAAAGTATTGGGGGGATTACATTATGAAATCCTAACAATGACTTTGTCTATATCAAGATAACAATTTACTCATAGAGACGTGCAGCTTATGAATGAGACAAAAAAAAAAGTGAACGAGTGGAAGATGGCTTAAAAGAATAGGAGTGACGAACGAGGGGAAAAAGGAAGATGTTATTGGTTATTGGACTTATAATACACTCAACAAAATTACTCGAATCTGATTAGACAAGAGGACTACAATTAAATCCCAAATTTTACTTTGTAGAGTCCCAATTAAATTCTTCAATTTTGTTGAGTGTATTATAAACAAAAAGTTGCACAGTGTTCTCGCACAATTCGGAATTTATAGATACTCGTGATGTTTTGAAAGTTCTCAAATTGGACTCGCTTAAAAGGCTCTTCCAATTTTAAAAACTTTCAAAACATCACTCGTACCTCACTACCATCACTCGTATAAATTCCGAACTTTTACTCGAGATCGTGCGATTTCCTATACTAATTAAGTACTATCGGAATAACAGAAGGAGAAACTAATATGGTCAACATATAGTTTTAGTACATGCGTAATATCAAGCAGGATCGTAGGATCAGGATTTTCACGATAACTTGCCAAGCAACTCACCAACAAAGTTCTCACATACTTTTTATTTTAATTTTATTTTATTACCTTCGCCAACTAAATAAATAACTAGTAATTACACTTGCTGTGGTTCCACTAGGAATTTAACACTGAATTACTCTGGTTTTACTCTCTGTCGATTTACACGGCTGTTACATTTTTTTTGCGTTAGACCGGTTCCATCGTTGGTGTAAACACCAAGTAAAATCTAGCTATCTGTCAAGAAGTAGACTTCAAATAGTTAGCCTTAGAGTTACACCGATAACTTGTCCTATTTAGCGTTGTTTACTCTGTGGTAAAAGTGCTTTGAAGTAACCTCATTACCAGGGCAACAAACACTAATATCAAAATGTCTACAACAAGAGGTTGCATTCAAAACACTAAAAATCAGAGTAAAAACGGGCGTAACACGAAAAAAACCCCAAGTTGAACCGCAGCCAACCATCAGTAAAAATGAACAAAAAGAAAATGATTCAAGGCAGGGTAACCGCAACAGAAGTGCTAAGGCAATTACTGAGGACGCATGCAGAATAATGAAAAACAGCTGATGTATTGCATGGTAGGTATAAACAATTACGCGGGAAATATTAATTCCCATTAGACAGGTTTGAACTAGCCAATATTCCAATAAGTAGCTGGACTGCGAAAATCGAACAACCAACACACCAACTAACCAAACAACCGCCTTATTATAGTCCCCTTTATTTAATATACTGTAAGTACAAAAGAGTAGCTCCGTGACACTTGTAAGTTATCATTGTTGTTGCCAAATAAAAGAGTTATCTTTTCATACCAAAGGGTTTTAATAGAACTTTCTCCAATGAAGCCGGTGAAAGTGACTGGACAAAGGCACTTTACGCGGTACGCCCACTTTTCTGCTGCAACGTCAAATTTGGTAAGGGCACTTAATATACATAATCTCATCCGATAATACCCGACGCTTAGCTAACAGCAAAATTGCAAGTTTAAAGGTTGATTTGAATATTTGAAACACAATTAACCAAACCAATTGATACATCACTTTAAACCGTGAAGAACGGAGCATTAATTAAGGCTTTAGATTTCCTGCCAATCAAACTTTCTAAAGTGTATTTCTTGAATCTGCCTTGTTGTCGTGAGAAGGTAGGCAATGCACAGACTCGGAGGTGTCTCCCTTGCCAATATTTGGCTATAGTTGCAGGGCATTTAACAAAATGAAATCTAAATTAATCGACGACGCCAAAGACTATTTGGTCGCTATCGCTGGCCCGGTGTTGTACATCTTTGGTGTCGCTGGCAACTCGTTCGTCGTCATTGCAGTATGGAAAAAGCGATCTCTGCGATCAACAACCAACTGTCTTCTTGTTAACCTTGCCATCTCAGATATCGTTAGCTTTTTGTTTTTGCCACTGATGCTAGTTCAGTCCACTCCCTTAAATCCAGATCACTTCGCCGACTTTTTGTGCAAGTTCTTGATTTCTTTTCATATACCAGCAACAGCAAATGTGGTTGCTATCCTCACGGTGACCTTGATGTCCATCGAGAGATATCATGCTTTGGTCAAACCGATGAAGATTAGAAAACGACTTCAGAAAGATACAATAGGACATGCTGTCACCGGTCTTTGGATTTCAGGGCTCCTTCTTACTCTCCCTTACTACATATTTGGTCAATATGATGAAGATTATTTGTGTTGTGTAGTTGGTAAACGGACAAAAGGATTCATAATCTATGAACTAATTTTCCTGGCTGTCATCGTTTTCGTTCCTTTCTTCATTACCAGCTTCTGCTACTTCCAAATCGTTCGTGAACTGTACTTCAAGAACAAAGTCAGACCACAGAACGTGCCATCCGCCGCAGAAGAAGATGCTCGTGATAAGCGTAAACTCGTCAAACTGTCTCTCTCGATAATTTCAGTGTTTGGACTTTTTATGTTTCCTTTGTTTATCACCTTGATCTTAAAATCCATCGATGATGACACCTTTAAACGATACTTCCAGATAGCTGCAGCTTTCTTCTTCGTGGAGGCTGCAGTCAACCCGTTCATCTACACTTTCCAGAGCACGAATTTTCGACAAGCATTTAAAGAGATACTGAAACACCCGTTTTGTGCTTGATCGAGTGTGGGAGACTGGAGAAAGAAATTGATTCCATGCGAGTAGAGTTTTCTGATGATCTAGAACCTAAACTTGGTGTAGTCCAGTCACTAGAACTATCATCTTAGTCTTAGTTTTCTTGATTTACTCAATAGTTCTTTATATTTTATAATCGTAAGTTATATAAAGGACGGCTGGAAAGAGCGTGGTATCATGTGCAAAAAAGCGGACAAAGCTAGAACAGTTTTACTTCTAATTTTGATTGATCTTATAACAAACAAAGGATGTACAATATTTAACGGGTATACGGATAACTGATTGACTCAGTTTTTGATGAGATGAAATGATATGGGACTGTTTGAAAAGAAAATTCTTCCAGATATACTAAGATTATAATTCATATTTTCAAAATAGAGCCAGTCAACTATATGTCTTAATCATTCACGGGTCCGACTCCGACAATGGCGGATCAATCCCCGTTGCAACATTTTGCCCAGTATTTGCCCATATTTTTGAATTTCGATGGCCAACTGCGTTCCCATGAGTGCAACAAGGGGACGTATTAAAAAATACTGCACAAATGATTAAAAAATTTAGCTTATAATACAATGTAAGTATAGCCCGTAATATATACTGATCGGCTGAATACCTATTTACGGCTCGTAGCCCTGCTTACTAACCGTATAATATCTGCTGTATACTTTTCAAAAACGTATTCTTAAAAAATTCAATTTGAAGTAAGACTTTGTAGTAAACATAGCCTTTTGCAAAAAAACAGTCACGTGCTGATATATCACTTTGAAAACGAATCATTTTAGCTCAAGGTCCCTAGGCGGATGCTCTGTTGTTTGGCAAACAAACTTTAAACTGCTTCGCATCTTGAAATCAAAAGTATCTTATGAAGGAAAAAAGTATTTTCTAAAAAAATTTGGATACGACATTAGTAATCCAGTAAAATAAAATGAATTCTAATTTTTCTTTTCTTTTTTTTCCTTTTTGCCATCCAGTAATAATCACATGTCAATTTATTGCAAAAGGCCTATTTCACAAGTTTCAAGGGAATGTATGAAGTACTAGAACCCAGGTCCGCGCGGCCAGGAATGGTCATTTTGAATGGAAAATTAAGATTTTGTCGCTTATAGCTCGTCTATTAGTATGGTAAACCCCTATTTTTTTCTTTGAATTCAAAGCTTTGAATTGTCCACGCTAGTACCACACTGAATTCTCGATATATTTATAACAAGGAACGTATTTCGATGAGATACCGAATTTTGCTTCTAGAATTCAGTTTGAAGCTTATTTGCAACTCGTCAAATGAATCCTTTCTGTCCGGTACTACCTTAACAAGTTATGTGAAATCAATTATGACTAATGACGGTTTGCAGTTTGTGACACGTAGTTGTCATATCTGGCCAATGACAAGCACAATGGTTTCTTTTTTATTTTTCATTGCTGTCTCGGGGGGTCCTAAAAGGGGTTGGACACTGCTCGCAATGCATGATGTTATAGTGAAAAGTGACCAATCATAACCTTCTATTTCATGAGAGGAAAAAAACGAAAATGGAGGAGAGAAAAAAAGAAGGCAAGTGCTACATTTCATAGGTTTTATAGTGTTTATTTGTTTAATTTTGAAATGAAATTTTGTAGAATTCAAGTGTACATTATATTGAAGGGGCCATAAAAGCTTAACTTCAAAATCGTGCTTATGACTATTTTTATCTTCATTCATTGCGTATTTTATTTTGAACTGGAGTCATTTTTCCTGGAACTGCTTGCTCCACATTTCTGTTACTTACCCTTGAAATAAAAGGGGTCTCGTATCGAAACTAAAGCAAAATGTAAAGGAGGAAATTACTTTTCATGAGGTATAATCGCGCCACAGAGCGCCCTTAATTCTAATATTAGGACTTCTAATATTTGACAAAGAAAACAAAAATACGGCATCAAAGCCACTTATTTGCTTAGATCAATGTAGGATCAGTTACTTCCTTGTTAATACTGAGCTAAATTATCTCTTATCATTATAACATCATTTGCACTGAAAAACATTTTATTTGCCAGAAAACGTCGGTACTTTGTAAGACTCGTGTACAAATAATTATTTTCTTTTCTTTTGAATGTTTTCTAAATCATTCGAAAATATGTGGATGAGAATATAAAATAACTCACTAACTTTCCGCTTGGTCTTATAAATAAATCTTTACATTTCCGCTTCCCTTATTTGTTTAACTCTAATCTCCTTTTTTTTTATAACTGATTAGCGACGTGACTGCATTTATATAATTGACTTGATATTGGTTGATAACGTTTTGATAATTAGGTGTTTTTTAGTGATTTTATTTGTCTATATATTTTTTGTCTTTATATTGTTTAGCATTGAGACCGGTGTGGAATGCTTTGAAATAAATTATTATTATTTTGAATGTATATATTTAAAATAAATTAACCTTTATAACAACAATAATATCCAACACTTAGAAATACATATTTATAAGTCATTACTATATCTATCAAAAATAAAAATTTTTGTTTTTAAAAATGTTTTAATATGTATAATGAATTATGTAGAATAATTAAATTATTGATATAAAGTTATACATAATAAGTTGGAAATTTCGAGATAAAAAAAAAATGGTAAAAAGACAAATTATTATTATTATTATTATTAGAGTGCAAACAATTAATTAATTAACACTAATTACTAGATAGTACAAAATAGTGCTAATTAAACAATAGAAAACAATGGAATTTGCATGAAATTGTGCTATTAAGTACTACTAAAGTTTCATGGTTAAATTGTTTGCACTCTATTAATTAATTAAAATAGTGATTTTGAATCTGTTAAATTTGAAATTCTCTCGATTAGGTCTGTTGGAGTGGAAAACTCATCGTTTATGGAAGTATTCGACCAGCTAGGATAAAAGAAAAACATAAAATGTAATAATAAGAAAAATAATTAACATTGCCATTAGATCCACATATTTCATTTTTTGTAAAAGACGAAACAAAGACTGGGATAATCCTCATTTAATGAATTTTTAGTATTTTCTTTTCAATTCTTTTTACTATTATTGTCTGGGCTTTTTTTCCTTCTTCTTGTATGTATCCGATTACATATTTTGAGCT